TAACTCTAGGTATGCTCGATTGGGGTGGAGAAAATATCGAACAATCTCTGCGTGTATGGATGTGTGGCGGGAAGATACTTGTTGACCGTCAAGCCAAGATAGGTCACATTTTCCAGAGGCCGGCGCCTAAAAATAAAGTTCGAAGTGGACAGGTGCCACAATTGGTCAGATGAATTGGTCACCGTATCAGGTCTGATACTCAGGTCCAGCGTAATCATGCTCGCGCCGCGTTGTTGTATCTCGACGAAAAGCTGAGCTGGTTCCTGGACAACCACGCCGCTGCTAAAAGCGAAATATCGAAGCATCAGTTGGGGCCTCATATCGGCGATAGATTGGCGGTGAGTGTATTGTGTTGGTCAGGTTGTCAATCCCAACTCAGTAAGTGGTGAATCACTAGGCATCATCATCAGGTCCGGCATAGCCTGCAGTGCAAGTCGTTCGACGAGGGCTTCATGGAGCGCTTCTGGTCCGTGTTCGAGAACCAGGCATTGCTGCTCGATAAAGTGCATCTTATCAAGCATAAGAGAAGTCGTCTGTGCCTGGCTCTGGTATTAATCGCAGCATCTCATTTCCTATGGGGTACTTCACTTCATCTCTCGCCAAAACTTATTCTTTCACTGGACGGCTGGTGGCGGAACTTGCCACTTTCAATACACGCTCGGGTTTAGAGATCTGTTATTGTTGATTTGCTGTTAGATTCGTACTACCAAAGACATGCACGTCAAGGATGTCAACGCTCAGGCTGAGTTACGATTGAAACCTTGCGATCCTCGTGACAGTGGAATGCTGTGGATGCGCGTGAGATCTCCGCCTAAGTAGGGACGGTGAGTTTATTCATAGGGCTACTCGGGAACAAGAGTGGTTAACAAACGCTTCAACAAATGCATTGATCGAGGGAATAAGCCATTCGGTCGAGCTCAAGTCATTGCCTTCGCATGTGATCGTCATAACACCAACGTCAATCAGCGATGGTATTGGGATAATGGCCGCTTGTACAGGTGAGCCGGCTGGGCACGTAGCGAATTCGTTGTATTACGAGTATACTGTGTTTCTTCTCGCTCGTGCGATAAGAAGAAGCAACCCTCAGTATCGCAGTGTTATTGATGTCGGACATTCCGTACGCGCTCTCCGATCAGCCCAAATCGTGGTGTGAGCTCTTTCCGTGCACCTCCCGCTGGTATGGATGAGGACAGCAAAGGGACATTATGTATATCGGGGCCAGCAGCTGACGGAAAGCAGCTGGAAGTGTCGCCACAAGATCAGACCGATCCGAAGAGTGAGTCTGATATTGATATCGTTGCCCTGATATCAGTTCTGTCGTACGTATTATTTGCAACACTGTGACGCATAACATGTAAACCCCAGCCTGATCCATTCTTGCTTGGGAGAGTCCGATGCTCTCTCTGTGTGCTCGATTGATTGCGTCCTTAAGAGCACCGCTGTAATACTGTGCTCAGATGACCTCCTCATAGCCGCGAACAAATACCCAAAAGTGTTTATGATTCCGTGTCAATCGAGATCAACGTCCGGGCAGCATGGATATCTGCCAGATCTACTCGAGTTTGAGGCTGTCTTTTTGCACAGCTGATATCTTGCTGTTCCTTCGCATGGCTATGATTACTTGGTTGCGTTATCAGTGTGATCTGAATTGTTTTACATAGTCGTTATTGTATTTTGGGGTTACACGATACAGCTTGTCCTCTGAGATTACCTTGTTCTTAACCCGACCTAGAAACGAGAGTGAAAGGAAGTATATAGAACTCTAATCTTTTGGCATCGCTAACGTTTGTTCAGCCGTTCTAGTACATATTTTTCGATATAGCAAAGATCTTCTCCGAATCACAAGTGGGGCACCGTGGTACTCAATCAGATGAAAATCATTAGTCTACTGATTTCTCACGCTGCCCACCCATTTGTACTCATTTTCCTACGCCTGTTACCTTTCTGTAAAGCACAGGGTCTAGAATTATAGCGCTTATTGTTTCGAACTCAGAACTCAAGCCCAGCACAGGCTAGTTGCCTTGGCAATACGATCACCGTCTAGAATAGCAAGCTGACTAGGCTTCTACCCGGTGAGAGAGTATCAACAAGAGTGAAATAAATGACCCAACAAAAAAGTCATGACTGTTTCCTGAATATTCTACACGAAGCTGTGGAGGAAACAGCCAAATCCGGATCTAGACGTGATCAGCTAATACTCGAACATGTCAGGGGCGATCCCGATGAGCTCCTCAAGAGTCTCAGCGTCACCGATATGTATACAAAGCTCAGCTATCTCCCTAGCAGCATCTGGGGTGATGACCGAGTCTTGGCTGTAAGACTTAGAGGCATACAACCTCCGCCTCAAGAACTGAGCTCCTGTGATGACCTGAAGTATGATGATAGAGATCTCGCGCCCAAACTCTACTGCGCTAGCCCTCATACTTTGCCCCGTATCCTTGCTTCCAGAAAATCGATATATTTAGCTGCATTGGAGGCAGCCTTTGGAACGCCATTTGGACGACCGACCGAGCCGCAACACGGTGCACCGGCATAACCCTTGGACAGTTCGCTACGGCATACGTCCAGTAATCCTCCAGGAGAGCACCTGACGACGGTCGCAGCTACTCTTATGATACTCTATTCTCGAGACAACTTGTTTCAGACGAGAGCAAACGTTGCCGAAAAACCCAGTAATCGATGTAACAGTGCAATCGTGGGAAATCGGAGCAGTGAACTGAGTTTATAGCGGTCCGGGTGGTGGGATGCCACAACGTCTGTACCAGATTTCCTCCATAGTGCGCTCCTGGATAGCCCCTCTATCATTCCACCAAAACTTCACTCTCCGAACAGCATCATTTCTATGTGCTCGACGCATGTTCTCCAGTAACAATGAAATCGGAATCAACTCCGAAACCTAATAGAGCAGATAATC